TTGCTTTGAAGTGTTCTTTGAGATGCATTGATGTAAAGTACTTTAATGTGGTTTTCAGAATAGCATGGTTACTTCTATTATTAGGAATTTTTTTTCCAGATAATGATTAAAACAATCATGCCCATAGGCCTATTTGCAAATATAGGAAAAAGTTTTGGCTCTACTTTGAATATAATTTTCAGTGCTTGGTAGACAAAAGAACTGTGCTAACATTTTTCAGAAGTATTTATTCTTGCTTAGCCATTAACTGACTCGACAAAATGATGAGGTTTTCCATTTTCTTTTTATGTTTTAAGTCATCCTTCACACTTTAGCAGACAATGTCTCTTCTGCTTATTGACAAAAGTAACACTCTCATCTGCTGTTCTGAAAGGAATGCAGTAACAGTTGCAGGGTTTTCCTTTTGAAAGAAATTATTTTCCTCTGTGCTGTAGGTCTTATGAGAATGGAAAGAAGCTAACACATTTAGTCTCTATTATTAATTATTTGCTATGATGACTGCAATACTGTTTTCCAGGAAAAAAAAATAAAAATCTGACTTAAATGTTAATGGAAACAGTCCTCATATATATCTACAGAGATTTTCATAGTATGAGCAGCTGCTGAGCACACAGCCATTTTATGCATTCAGAAGATGCTGAGAAGCTGTCTCGTTTTGTGTATTGACGTCTTCTCAACCTACAGAGTTTTGTCTCTTTTCTGCTTTTTGCAAGGATCTGATTAATCTGATACTGCCGAGGTAACTTCACATGCACAGTAACTGCTGTTACAAAACAAATGGAATATCTGTGTACATATTGAAGTGATTTATTCAATGCAAGCACAGCTTTATACAAGCCTTTCTATGACCAGCAGAATAATGAAATCTGATTCCATGCTGATTTATATCCCGAGTTTTTAGAGCACCAATTAGCCCTTTCAGCCCCCAGTTCCCTATGGCCTCATGTCCCTGCAGTACCTGTTCTCCACAACATTCTCTCCATTTTCCTTCTGCTTTCCACAACATCATCATTCCTTTTCTGTGTCAACAAACTACTGGTTGGGTAGGAGGCATCATGCCTAGCTCCAAGCTAGATGCCGACTAGCCAGATGGCAAGATTATGGTGCTAGCTATGCAGCTTGTATTACTGAGGGCACACTCTTCATTTACCTATCCCCTGTTTCCTTTTTTAGCTTGTTTAACCATACTTGGAGGTAATTTGTATCTCTGTCTTTGAGTTGAACATGGTTGAAATTGGCCCAAAGGTTCAAAAATTCTTAGGAAGAACTGGTAAATGAATGGCAGAACTGAAAAATAGTGGTGACTGCTGCTGTCCATCATCATACATTATTGGCTGATTGAGACTGAATGGGATGTATAGATTCTAGAAGGTTTTCACACTTTAGTACACTTGCCTGTCTTCTCTGAGTTAAAAATATGCCACTGATATTAGATTATTGAGACTCAGACCAAATGAAATCTAAAAGTTTTACTTAACATATGGGTGCTGCATTTCCATTTAGCTAAAATATATTGTATATGTTCAACCTAGCCGTAATTAAAATTGAAAAGAGAATGTTACACCTCTTGAAATCACATTCCACACTGGCTGATTTAATTAGCATATCAATTTCCTTTGCAGAGCAGATACCACCTCCTTTTACCAGTGTCCCAAAGCTAGGCAGTTTTGTTTAGAATCACTTTCAGTAGTTTTCAACTACTTTTTTTTCCTCATCTCCATGCTTAATAGGGCTTGGGGCATACTTTCTCTAAGCACTGATTATCAAAGTAAAAAGATTTTTTATTATTAGCTATCCATCAAAAGACTGACTACCAATCTCATGGCCTGTCCATGTCTCCTTTGTCCAGACAGTTTTTTTTATTGCTGTTTCAAATGGGGAAATTTCCATTTTCCTTAAGTCTTTTCACTCACTTAGTTTCATTCATTATTAATTAAGGAAAGAGGTCCAGATTGTCATATTTCTGATTGTCTGAATTTGTTGAAGCAGGTGATTATTAGTCACAAGAGGAAACTGCGTACATCCTAGGAAATACTTGGAATCTGGGAGGTTTTTTTGCGAACATGGTTTATGGTTGTATTGCTAAAAGCCTCAAACCATACACTGAATAGCAGTCCCATTTACTTCTTTTATTTTTCTCACAGTGCTATAATCAATAGAGATAATGAGATAAGAGTTTACAAATTTTTTAATTTTTTTGTTGTTGTTGTTGTATTGAATGTACCAGTTATTGCAGTTGTTAGCCTGCTTATAATTACCTGGATTGCTCTTATCCTCTCCTTTTTAGGGAGAAACTGTCTCATATTTTCTAGTCATATGGCACCATCCCCAGCTTTGTAGCTTTATTAAGAAGCAGTTTTACATAACAGCTCTTTTATAATTCAGTCACAGAAATTATCTGATCCCTATCCAAATGTAGTTGATCCTTAGTTTTATTTCTTTCTATGCCTATTTCGCATTTGTCAGAAATCTCAACATAATTGTTCTCAGTTGAAAAACGGACTTTGGACCCTACCTAGATTGTTTTAAACCCTTTTGTAGTTTAAATCCCTTATTTTGCTTCTGGTTCTGTATTTTATCTGCAAAAAAAAGCCCTACTGTTATTTTAATTTTATTTGCAAAGACTGACTTATCCTTTTGGATAAGTCACTTTTTCTCCCCATATCTTCTGGCAGGGAAGATGCAGGTAAGTTTCATAAACAGTCCTTTCTGCCAACTTTGTGATATTTTTTTTCTACCCTATTCCCTGATTTATATTTGAAGCCTTTTTGTTAGAAGTTTGGATCCCTTGTTAGGCTCTGCCATTAATTCTCTTTAAGCAGGCGTGAGACTGGAGTTCTCAGTACTAGATATTTGTCCTAACCACTGCATCATCCTCAAAAGAATTGGGCAAATAGTGTCTTCTGGTGGCTATAGACGTTTGTTCTGTAATCAGCCAAATCCCTAAGCATCACATAAACAAATCAGCTCAACTACAATAAACAAGGACATTCTCCTTCTGAAGTGGCAGCAAGATTTGCCTAATCATATCTTCTCAGAGCAACCTGTTGCTGGAAAGGGAGCCTAGCACCTCATCCAGTCATGTCTTGAAATCCTCCAGTAGTGGAGACTCTACTGTGTACATGGGGTGGTTATTCCAATAAATGATTATTCTCACTGTAAAAAATTCCTTCTCATATGAAGATGAAACCTTTTCTGGTGCAACTTGTACCCATTGCCCTTTGTCCTCTTGTGAAGCCTCAGTCCACTTTGTAGCTGCCCTGTAATTACTGGAAAACTGTGTTGAGGTCTTTCCTGAGGCTTCTCTTCTCCTGGGAGGAAAGACATAACTCCTGCAGTCTTTCACAGAATCATTCTGGTTGGAAAAGACCTTTAAGATCATCTAGTTCAATCGTACCCTTATAGGGATACTCTCCAGCCTTTTGATCATCTTCATGGGGCCCCCCTTTAGACTTTCTCCAGTCTGTCTATATCTTTCTTGAATTGTGGGGACCAGGACTGGACACAGTACTCCAGTTGTGGCCTGACAAGCACAGGGTAGAGTAGGATGATCCTGTCTCAATTTCTGCAAATGAAGATGGATGCAGCCCAGGATCCAAGTTTCCTTCCTTGCTGCAGCAGCCAACTGCTAACTCACGTTCACCTCAACCACCAGGACCACCAGGTCCCTTTCAGCAAGGCTGCTCCCCAGTCACCCCGATCCTAGCCTGTACTGGGCTTTTTGGTTATGTTGTCCCAGGTGCAAGACTTTGCACTTGTGTTTGTTAAACTTCATAGTGTTCTTGCTAGCCCACTCTACCAGCCTATCCAGGTTTCCCTGTAAGATGGCTTTGCATTCTGACGGGTCCACCTCAGCACCCAGTTTAGTGTCATCAGCAAAACTGGTAAGAGTGCTTTCAGTCCCATCATCCAGGTAATTATTGAAGTTGTTGGACAATGTGAGGCCCAGTATCAATCCCTCAGGGCCCCCTCTTGTGACAGGCTGCCAGCCCGAGTGAAAAACATGGGTTGGGTCACCATCCTCTCTGAATGCCACTTGCTAGCCAATTTTCTACTCATCTCACACGCTGCCCATCCATTCTGAAACTTGCTAGTTGGTCTAGGAGGAAACTGTGGGAAAATGTCAATTTTTTTGGCTAAAGATGCATGTGATATTTGTCCTCTTCAAATTGTTAGGGATATCCCCTGATCTCCTTGAGTTTTCAGAGATTATTGACAGTGGCCTTGTAGCAATGCCAGCCACTTCTCTTCACATCATGTTTTCATTTGTTTCATAGAAATTGTTTCATAAAAATCTTTGTTCTCATGGAATGTGTATCAGGAGTTGTCACGGAGAGTAGAATCTCCATCATCACCATTATTTAAAAAATCAGTTATTCAGGCACTTCTCCTGTCCTTTCAACCTGAATTATGAATGGCAGAAGGTTATAGTTAATCCTGCTCTGTAGCAAAGGGGAAAGGATAGATTAGCTCTTGGAGTCTTTTCCAGCCCTATTGTTTTGTGTGTGAAGTCTGCATTAATGTTTGAGATAGAGAGGTGCATCTGCTTTGCATTATTTATACTTGCCCGCAATACCGACCTAGGAAGGTAATCCAGCAGTGGCACAACTCTATAATACTTCTCTGGTTCCAGGAGGGATTTCCGAAGAAGAGGGAGCAATAAAAGGGAGCTTCACCTACGAGAAAGCATCAGATTGGACCTTTTGAAGGAATCTTTTGCACTTACCATGAAGTAGAACTAATCTCCAAATATCCAGATTTCTGATTTGGATTCCAAATATCCAGGGATACTCCAATTTGTAGCCCAAGCTTTTTACTTATTCTAGTGCTTGGTTTTAGCCTGTCTATAACTAATATGTATTCTAAATATGTTTCTCTTTTTTACTTTTATATGTAGGGGACTGTGGTAAACATTGAGGAAGTTGGTGAATTTGCAAAATACTGCCTAGTGGAGGAAAAAATTGTTGAAATGTTACCACTTCTTCCCTTTCATATTTCAGGTATTGGTGGTAATCTAGTAGCTATTCAAGCTAGCAGAATTTCTACCTACCTCCATTTGCACAGCATTCCTGGAGAGCTACCAGAAGAAGCCAAGGGTTGCTATTACCCATGCAGAACCTATTGTGGTACAGGTATGTATTTGTTTCTAGTTAAAACTACTGTCTCATGTCTCCTCTTGTTTCCCCTGTATGCCAGACTGTGCCACCATTGAGAAATGTCAGCAAACTGGAACTGTTGTACACCATTCAAAGGCAGCAGAGCTTTGGCAGTTTCAAACCCTGCAGCTGTTTGCCTATGAGAATCACAAGGAACTCCTGTAGGAGGCAACACATAGAGAGGTGTAACCCTGGCAAGGGTCAAAGACAGGGATTGATGAGGCAGGACACTATGATACCCTCTTAGAAGGATTTCAATTTTCATCTTTCCTTAGCTTGTTTACCTACTGCTAACCTTTGTCACTTACCTCCAGAAGTTCAAAACACTCTTCTCAAACCAAGCTTTATATATAACATTACTAAGCCAAGTCCCTTCTTTCCATTTCCCCTTTTCTTTCTACATTTCTGCTTCACAGCCAAAACTCTCCTGCATTGTCCCTTTTCCTAATAATGTAGTAACTGTGGTGAAATGTGATGTGTCAGTAGCATGTATTACACTTTCATATTTATGAAATGAATTGGAACAGGTGAGAAAACTGTAAATGTGGGATTACTTTTTAGAGATACAAGGCATTTTCGAGGATGTCTTTAATATTATGTCTAAAATATCCTCTTTTCTAGGAAGGCTTTAGGACATCACTGCAGTTCAAAAAACATAGATGGTATTACCTGAGTACAGCATGAAAGCAGGCAGTTTACACCCTCTTCTGCAACGGCCCTATTTAACTTCTCTGGCAGACACTAGGAGTGTTTTTTTGTGAAAATTCCTAAGGAGTATTTTACCAGAAAATAAGCATAGAATCATAGAATCATTAAGGTTGGAAGCGACCTTAAAGACCATTGAGTTCCAAGCCCCCTGCCATGAGCAGGGAAACCTACCACTAGACCAGGTTGCACAAAACCTTGTCCAACCTGGCCTTAAAACCTCCAGGGATCGGGCATCAAAAACCTCCCTGGGCAACCCATTCCAGTTCCTCACCACCCTTATAGTGAAGAATTTCTTCCTAATATCTAACCTAAATCTCCCCTGTCTCTGTTTAAAACCATTACCCCTTGTCCTATCACTATCTTCTCTAATGAAAAGCCCCTCCCCAGCTTTCCTGTAGCCCCTTTCAAGTAGTGGAAGGTGCTATGAGGCCTCCCCAGAGCCTTCTGTTCTCTAGGCTGAACAGCTCCAACTCTCTCAGCCTGTCTTCATAGCAGAGGCCTTTGATCATCTTGGTGGCCCTTCTCTGGACCCTCTCCAACAGGTCTATATCTTTCTTGTGCTGAGAGCCCCAGAGCTGTACACAGTACTCCAGGTGCAGTCCTGCTGTTCCTCAATAGTCAATGCTATCAAATTCCAAAACTGCCTTTTATATTAAAATTACTAAAAATCTGATACAGTAATTGAATAGCTTAACTGAATTTTGGAATTTTTTTTTTAATTGTAGGAGTAAATAACAAATCAGCCCAAGTTTTGCTTCTTTTGGTGATTCCTGGACACCTGATTTTCTTGTACACTATCCACTTAATGAAAAGTGGCCACACTTCTTTAACTCCTATCTTCATAGCAGTATATTTGTTTGCAGCTCTGCTACAGGTAAGAGCAAATACAACTTGAAAATGCTTGTGTTAAATCGAGTTCTTGAAGAAAATAATGTTTTATCTGATTTGTGAAATCTTATGAAGAGCACAAGACAGTAAGGGTTAATACAGATTTGCAGCATTGTTTTGAAGTAACTCATTATCTCCACATGTATACAGCTTACACAGGTGCATTTGTATTGTGAGTGCTTTTCAGAAGACACTTGACTGCTTTATTTCCCGGTCATGCATCACTCACTTTCCCTTTTGCCTGCTTCTTGGAACCTTTGCATCTAAAACTCCCATTATTTTAATGAACTGGAGGGAAGATGGAGAGAAGGAAAAGTAGCATTTATGAATAATTAATACATCAAGGAAAACTCCCATAGAAATCTCTTAAAGTGGTTCACATTACTGTTTTAGTTAACACAGTAAAAAATGCTGTAGATGAGAATGTTATGGCTTGGCTGGTGCATTCTTAATACTTATTAAAGTTGAAATAAGTCTGACAGCAATCACTGGACAAAAAATTGTAATTGCTTTGATTGTCAAACATTGTTACATTTTTTTGGCTGATCTTACCTAGTGACCTGTTCACACCCAACAAGGGCAGTTCTGGAAAGATGCCTTTTGAAACAGTAATGTCTTAAGTTGAAATAATTTCATGTATAGAAATCAGTAATGCAAAATAAAATGTTTTTACTAAATCCACAGCCAATTTTTAGCTAAAACTTGGCTGAAACTACAATGTTTCATTGTATTTTAAAAATAAAAATTGACTGTTCATCTCACACAAAAAAATACAGTTGAAACATCTGTAAGTTAAATATACATACTGCTTCTAAAAATGTGACTAAATTAGTCTTGAAGTACAAACAACATTATCATCAGTCAATCCTTAATAACAATTATAATTTTTAATATTCTGCATTGTTTTTCTGTGTTTATCACATTGCTATTTCAATGAAGATAGGTTTCAAAAGCTATTAATGTTTTAATTTCAAATGAGAATTTTATCATTTTTTTGGTAGAATATAAGTGGTCATGTTCCAACCATTGCAAGTGAGAATATCATACTGAAAGTTAAAAGTTACTTTTCATTTCCCTCTTGCATAGTATTCCTAGTTTGCAGCCTTATCACTTGTTTTACGATGCTTTTTCCTGAGGAAACAATGCTGTTCTTTCACTCTGTCTGCTCTCTCTGTCAGACTGTCCTTTCTAACTTGTGAATCCTTTGGTCCATTTTAGTCCAGTTTTCTACATCTCGGCTCTCTCAGTGATACTAAGTTTTTACAAGCTTTACAAAACAGGTTGGGGAAAGAGCGCCTGTTAATGCCTCTGCTGGAGGTAAGACTGCAGTGTGATTTCAGCCATGATTAGACTTCAGAGATTTCACTTGGGAGTTAACCTGAATTAATCAATCCATGTGAATTCCATGGATTTCTCCTGCTCACAGAACTGAAATCGTAATATGTACAGGGATGCAACCCTTTTCTTTAGCAGCAAAGGATAGGGTAAGATGTGAGAAATGCAAAGGTTCAGCTGAAGACCGAGTTAAAGCATTAGGGCAGGACTCTCAGATCACACAGTAATTCAGACCCAGCATCGACACATATACATGTGTGAAGTTGACTTTTATAAATACTAGGTCTGCTAAGGGTATTCATTTTTGCAGTTATGCATCTCCATTGCAGTCCATAAGGACAGACCTGATGTTCTTGATTTTTCACCTATAAAGCAGACATATAGCTTTTTTTTCTCTTTTTGCCACTCACTTTTATAGATGATTTTTTTGTCTTTACCTTCTCTTTAGCCATAACAGGCAGTACAAGATAGATTTACTTTGAAATTGAGTAACAATATTGCAGTCTATAAAGTCTCATGGGTCTTAACAGATTTAAAATTGGGAACCCCCCCCCCCTTTTTTTTTTTTTTAGCACCTTCTGAAAATATTAATATATTATTTTCCCCATTTTAATTATTCTGGCATTTTTCTAGTAGTGATTATTTTAGTTTTACGTACCTCTAATCAGAGCAGATTTAGAATTTTCAGGGAGACATTTCTTGCTTTAACCATGAAATCTTGACCATATGTTATTTACCTGTCAGTCTGAAGCAATTGCCTTCTGCAGTTGTGTGCTTTTTAGTTTTTCCTTTCTCAAGGAAAACACTTGTAGACATTCCTCTTCCCTTTTTCAGTGATGTCATCCATACACCTTGATATAGTAAAGAACAGTTTCCAAGCTGCTTTTTCTTTTGGCATAAGCCAAAATTTACTAATCTTACTTTTACAGAGGAATCTTACGTTTTCCAGAATTCTTTTATATTTTCATCCTCCCAATGAGAGCTTTTCTAGTTCTGCTGGAAAACTGGAGAACCTCACAGCTAATTATTGTAGTTTCCATTATCAACAAAGCAAATCCAATTTTGATCAGTGAAAGAACATTCTAGGCTTTTCTTATAGTATACTGGACTTTGCATTTATTTTCACTTTGCATGGAAGGCATATGAAAACGGATGTCAAAAATTACAAGCCTGCTTGCAAGCTGTATCTTTATGTTTGAGATAGTAGATGACAATTTAATAGAACATAGTGATTTCCAAAGGGAAGAGTTAATTATGATCAGTCCTCTATTTGAGGAGGTTTGATACCACTACTTTGCCCTTTCCAGTTCCTTACTTGAGCTGGAGGGTGGAAAGGCAAGCTGAATAATGATTATGGCAATATATCACCTATTTACATTTTTTCCAAGATGTTAAAAAATTAATGCTATATTAAAAACAAACAGCAGTAACAAAGTGAATTTTCCATATTTAAAATTCAAGTGACTATTGTAAGATTTTAAATTATTTAGTAATATGTTTTACCATAGACTGAAATAGATTTTTTCAATTAACTGGAAGATCCAGTTATCTCTCATTGCCCAGCTCTGCGTGTATTTAAAATGGAGAGGAAGGGGTTTGGGAAATAACAAAAGCAGAACTGAAATGTTATAGGAAGCTGAAAAAATCAAGGAAATGTTAACACAAAATCTTTAATTATGACTTCTATATTTCACTCTTTCTCTATCAGTGTATACTATTCCACATTATCTCTACAATAAGTTTGGAACATGTATATTAATTCTATTTAGCATTTTAACAAGGCTTTTTCAGATTGCCTGCAAGCTTCAGTATTCCTCTCCCCAAAGTGGTATTCTCTCCCCAGCATGTCATTTAATTGAAATATTTATGGGAAAGAACTAATTAATATGACAAGATGTACATTAACAATAATATGATTTATTTATTATTGACCAAATATATGCTATGTAGTAAAAGTACAATTTTACAGAATATGTAGTTGTTTCTAAAAATCATGGAATTAAAGTATTTTAAACTGTGTGAGTAGACAGTGTTACCTGCATTGTCTCTGATTCTCTGTAAGCAAAACCGTTCTGAGTTTCTAGATTACAAAAATCCAGAAAGTGTTTTAGTTTCTTTTATTTTAATTTCCCTACCTTTAATAGTACAGTTGTTTCTGTTCTTTAAATAAATGCATATTCTTGAAATGTTCTTCAATTAAATTGATAAATTGATGCTATCGAGATCCAAGGCATTGCTTCCTCTAGTGGGGTGAAGATTTCACAATTATATTTTCATAGAGGTGAGTAAAACTACACAAATATTTATATTAATCTGCATTTGATTAGAACTTCTAGGCTTCAGTTCAAAAGGTCTGTATAAGCTCTGTAGTGAAGAGTCTGCTTTCTGTTTATGAATGACAGCATCAGAGGAAAATAGAATAAAATAATTTATGCTCTTAAAGTATGTAGGGCACTTCATATACAGGGCACAGTACCTGGGCAAGCCAATCTGCATTAGTGAAAACCAGTAGATTGATTTCAAATGTGTTTTGCATTTGGTGATTAGCCTCTATTTACGAGGAATACTCTTTTCTTGACAATTTTACAAAACCAAGTCAGACATGCACACATCCCAGCATGCTGCATACAGTTACCATCTGGTGTTTGACGAATAAAGAATGTATGACTTGAAAAAGCAATCCCTCTTATACTTGACAAAGGCACAAGTGTTTTTTTAACTGTATGAGGCTTTGCACTGAGCAAAGTTTCATCCTGTGTTTTGTCAACCTGCAGTAGAATGAGAGCAGCCCTGGAATTGCCAAGCCATCAGTTCTGGCACAGGGCTTTGAGTGTTCAAAGACAGCCTCTGTTCGTTGACCTTCTCACTGAGCCAGCAAAATGCCCTCAAAGGAATTTTCACACCTCCTAACTAAATCTGAGCACACAGTTACATTAAAGACTCTGGGAATAAACAAACAATAGGAGATTCCCAGAGCTATTACCAAGCAAATAAGTAATTCCAAAATGTAGTTCTTCTTATCCAGTGAAGGTCAGATGTCTACTACTGTGAAGTTACTTTTGTGGTGCTTTGGGGTTGTTTGGGGCAATAGAAAACTTAAGAATTCAGCAGTGCTCATAATGACTTCCTCCTCACATCACAAAGGTCTTGGATTTCACACTAGTGTGAGGATTCTAGTGGTGGGATGGGCCTCTTCAATGTGGAAAAATATCTCTTGGGGTATTCTGTACATTATAGAGAAACAGGGAAGCTTGTGTTTGTAGAGAAAATATTGATGCATTTTAAATACTGTTTTTTCTAATAGGAAAGGTTTCTTCCAAAATGTAGAGCATATTACTGCTAAAGAGACTACACAGTTCAAGGAAATGTGGAAACTAAGATCCAAACCTAGAAGCTTATGCATGTTCAGTGCTTTTTCATTGCAGCATGAGAAGCAGATTCACTGTGATCTGAATGTGGGTATCACCTGCTCTTTTGCTTCCAGGCATGTTGCTGTCAGTGGCAGAAGCCTGGCCGAGTCATTATCAGGGATACATTTTTTTTTTTGCCTCCAGAAAGCTGAGCTCAAAGTGCTTATGTATGTAGCATAACAGAGAGACTTGTTCTACAACTAGTGCAGGTTGAGCATACCTGAACACTGAATGGACTGGA